AAATAGTTTTAAGTATCTAGAAGTAAAATATTGGATGTTCCCAACACAAAGAAAAGATAAATGTTTAAGATGATAGATACACTAATTTCCCTGACACACTCAACATACACTATATGTAACAAAAACATCACTATGTACCCCATAAATCATGCAATTATTATTTGTTAATTAAAAATGAAGTTAAATTTAGTTTTTTAAAAAAAATAAGGAAATGAAGAGAGGGAGGATAAAAAAGAATTACTGGGATTGTTTACCTATGAGCTATGGATGTGAGATGGGAAGGAAGCAATGTTATGATGCCATTTCTGACAACTCTCTGAATATATCTTTTTGTACAGTTTCTACTTTTTCTAATCATTAACATGCACAACTCAAAAGGGGAAAAAAAGGAGGTGATGTCTGTAAGATGGTAGACTAGGAAGCTCTAAACCTCTTCTCTTCCACTGACACACTGAATAATAATCATAATGGACAAAAATACCTTCACAAAACCTCCAGAAATCAGGTCAGAAGTAATGGCAATCAAGTGAATGTCTAATCAAGAAAAAGCCACTCTCAAACAAGAAGAAAATGTCATGACATTTGCTTGCCTTGCCGACCACCTTCCAGTACATTGTGGGATAGTTGGAAGGACATCACCCAGTTACTAGTTGTGGTGAGTGGGCTGTGAGACAGCAGAGCCCTCACAGCCTGGAGAACATTCAGGGAATGAACCCCCAAGTGCTTCTCCTCCATTCCAAAAAAAACCATATTCCTTTCTTCAGGCTCCCTCTGTCGGAAGTCATGTGACTTTCTTTGTCTACTTAACTAGGCAGATATCCCTGAAATCTTTCCCTTCTGCTAACAAAGTTGAGTAGTAACCACTAGATCCTAGTTCTCCCTTTTTTTTTGTCAACTATGCTGAGATCCTTGTGAACTTTCCCTTCTTACTTCTTATCATATGTTAATGAAGCTGAATAGAAACCATTAACAAGATGATTTGTCTTTATTAAAGTCATTTACTTAAAACAGCATGGTATTGGCACAAAAACAGAGAGGTAGATGTATGGAACAGAATAGAGAGCCAACAGATGAATCCAGCTACCTACCGTTACCTCATCTTTGACAAACCAATTAAAAACATTGAGTGGGGAAAAGATTCCCTATTTAACAAATGGTGCTGGACGAACTGGCTGGCGACCTGTAGAAGACTGAAACTGGATCCACACCTTTCACCATTAACTAAGATAGATTCTCACTGTATTAAGGACCTAAACTTAAGACATGAAACCATAAAAACACTAGAAGAAAGTGCAAGGAAAACATTTGAAGAAATCGGCCTGGGTGAATTTTTTATGAGATGGACCCCACGGGCAATTGAAGCAACATCAAAAATACACTGTTGGGACCTGATCAAACTAAAGAGCTTCTGCATAGCCAAGAACACAATAAGTAAAGCAAGCAGACAGCTCTCAGAGTGGGAGAAAATATTTGCAGGCTATGTCTCTGACAAAGGTTTAATAACCAGAATCCATAGAGAACTCAAAAGTATTAACAAAAAAAAAAAAAAGTGATCCCATCGCAGGGTGGGCAAAGGACTCGAAGAGAAATTTTACCAAAGAAGATAGGCGTGTGGCCTATAGATATATGAAAAAATGCTCACTATCCTTAATCATTAGAGAAATGCGAATCAAAACTATTTTGAGATATCACCTAACTCCAGTAAGATAAGCCCATATCACAAAATCATAAAACCAGAGTTGCTGGCATGGATGTGGAGAAAAGGGAACACTTATACACTGCTGGTGGGAATGCAAACTAATACTTTCCTTTTGGAAAGCCATCTGGAGAACACTTAGAGAACTAAAAATTGACCTGCCATTCGATCTTACAATTCCTTTATTAGGTATATACCCAGAAGATCAAAAATCACATTACAATAAAGATATTTGTATCCGAATTTTTACTGCAGCCCAATTCATAATTGCCAGGTCATGGAAGAAGCCCAAATGCCTATTGATCCACGAATGGATCAATAAACTGTGGTATATGTACACCATGGAATACTGTGTAGCCCTAAAGAAAGATGGAGACTTTACCTCCTTCATGTTTACATGGATGAAACTGGAAAATGTTCTTCTTAGCAAAGTATCACAGAAATGGAAGAAAAAGTATCCAATGTACACAGCCCTATTATGAAACTAATTTATAGATCTCAAATGAAAGCTACAACCTGGCTCGGTGCCTGTGGCTCAAGTGGCTAAGGTGCCAGCCACATACACCCAAGGTGGCAGGTGAGAATCCAGCCCTGGCCCGCCAAACAACAATGATGGCTGCAACCCAAAATTAGCAGGGGGTTGTGGTAGGTGCCTGTGGTCCCAGCTACTTGGAAGGCTGAGACAGGAGACTCGCTTGAGCCCAGGAGCTGGAGGTTGCTGTGAACTGTGATGCCACAGCACTCTACCCAGGGGGACAGCTTGAGGCTCTGTCTCAAAAAAAAAAAAAAGAAAGCTACAACCTAATTCTAGCCTAAGAATATGGGGAGGGAAGGGGTGGGGGAGGGAAGGGGAGAAGGGCAGATGGGTGGTGGGAGGGTGACTGGAAAGATCACCTATATGGTCTGTCTAACAAGGGTACAAGTGAACTTTTCTAGAACTAGAGTATAAATGTTTTAACACAATAACTAAGTAAATGACACAAAGTCTATGTTAACCAGTTTGATGAAAATATTTCAAATTTTATATGAAAACACTACACTGTACCCCATGTTTGCATTAATGTATACAGCTATCATTTAATCAAAAAAGAATTTAAAAAGTCATTTACATTTTTCACTTGTACTGTAAGACCAAAATTATGTCTTTTGTTTATCCTATTTCCCCATATTGTCTACACTACTTCCCCCTGAGCAACCCTGTACAGATTCTATAAAATAAAGCTGGTTTTGTGCTTTGGTGCTGGCTGCAGCCATCGGCTCATTCAGTCCTCCCGATCCCATCTTTTGTCTCTGTGTCTTCTCTTGTGCTGTATTTTTCTCAGTCCCCACCAATTCCACTCTCATTCTCTTCCCTTCCCCTCGCTGGTTCGCAACAACTAGTTCCTCCCTTTGGATAAAAGGAAAAGAGTGGAAAGTTCTTTCAGTGTTCTAGTTTGTCTGGGGACAGCTAGACAAACTCTTGCCTGACTCAGAGTATGGTGGGAATGTGGTATAGTTTCGATACCAGATTATAGGCTATGGAGTTTAGAGCTGCAGGAAGTCTGCCAACCTTCAAGTATTTTGGGGGCAAGAGATGACAGGCAGAATAATACAGTACAATAGAAATCCAAGGCTTTTGAGAGGCAGCAATGTTGAGACTCCCAAGGGAATCAATCAATACACTTAAAAGCATGTAATAGTTGCTTATAATTGTAACTATTTAAATTGCATATGAACTTTATGGCTACCCTGTATAGGGAACTGGAATAGGAACACATATATGTGTCCAGGAAAGACACAGCCTCATAAAGTAATTAAGAAGACTTTAAACCTTTAAGTCAAGAAGATTAGTGAAGATCTTCCCTCTGCATGAAGCCAATTCATAAAGACTTAGAAAGGTGGCTATTTATTCAAATGCCCATACTTTACCAAAATGTCACAAGGCATATAAAGAAACAGAAAACATGACCCATACATACTCTTCAACAACCAAAAGTTTGAAGAGGAAATTGCAGAGGAAATTATGAAATATTTGGTGCCAAGGAGAGCACACACTGAGCATGTCCAAACTAATGGGCTGGAGCAAAGCATTGTAAGGAGGGGAATGTGCAGCTGTAACAGCTTACATCAGAAAGAAATATCTCAACTCAACAACCTAAGTTTGTACACTAAGTTTGAGGAACCAGAAAAAGAACAAACTAAGCCCAAATCTAGCAGAAGAAAGAAAACAATAAAGATTAGAGTGAGATGTTTAAAGATCAAGAATAGAAAAATAATAGAGAAACTAAATGAAACCAAGAGCTGATTCTTTGAGAAGATCAACAAAATTGACAGACCTTATTAGGTTGCCCAAGAAGAAAAGACTAAAATAACTAAAATCAGAAATAGGAGAGGGGCCATCACAACTAATTTTACATAAACAAATAGGATTATAAGAGAATATTATGAACATCTGGACTCCAACAAGGTGGATAACTTAGTGGAAATGGATACATTTCTTTTACCGAAAGTGACTTGAGGAGCAACATAAAATCTGAACATATCTATAATTCTTCAAAAAAACTGAAGAGAGGAGAACACTTCCAAACTCGTGAGACCAGCATTATCCTGATACCATAGCCAGACAGAGCTACTACACAAAAAGGAAAGCACAGACCACTGTACCTTATGAATGTTGATGAAAAATGCCAAGCAATATCCCTGATAAATATTGAAGAAAACAGAATTCAACAGGACAATATTTCCAATATTTAGTGGCTTGAAACAGTGAGCATTTATTATCTTACATATTGTTTGAAGGTCTGCAGTTTGGAAGTGACCTGGATCTAGTGGTTTAGCTCAGTGTATCTTGCAAGAGCAAGATTTCAATTGAAACAATGAAGCTGCAGTCTACTGGGAAAAAGAACCTTCTCCGGAGATGTTGGACCCTAAATACGTGTGTTTCCCTCTACAAGGCCTGGACTCCTTCAGTATTACATTGGAAGAGCCCTGTGCATTCAATGGTCTTCAGCCAAGGAGGAAGTAGTGAGGTCGCTAGAGAAGGGACTCATGTGGTGCCTGCCATGCATGTGCTGTGACACTTTGGGCAGTGGCGCAAATTCTCTAAGCCAGTTTCCTTCTCTGTGAGATGGGGGCGGTCATGCTGCTTACCTCGTGGGGTTGCTGTGAAGACCAGAGGATGCGTGTGCAGACTGGCAGAGTGTCATGTGGTTGCTAGGTGGTAACTGTACTCCAGTACTGTCTCTGCCATCACATGCCACCCATTCACGCATTCAGGGTGACAAATAAAAAAGCAACTCTGAGTCACAGGAGAAGAAATTTTCCTTTATTTATTTGCTTGTTGAGGCACTGAGCTGGACGCTTTACAAACACCAATCTTGTTTTTCCTCACCGAGGCAAAGTAAAATGGGAATCACCACATGAAATTCCCTCGTGAAGAAACTGAAGCACACAGAAGTTAAAGATGGGACCGTGTGACACCCTAGGGCTACAGCCTGTGCCCATGTGGCCACAGAGCCTGAAACCTTCTCTCTCTGCTGCCTGGCTCTCCAAAGCACCTTCAAAGGCCCCTGACGTGCTTCTGGCAGACAGCACTTCCCCTGGATTGTGGAGGGGTGAGGAGCCTGCAAATCCTTTTCCTTATCTGGGAGTTCCAGGGACTGAGCAGCACCCCATCAGGGCTGCTCAGCCAGAAGGGCCGCCCCCCACCTCACTGCCTTCGTGTGCACCAGCTGCCTGGTGTCTGTCACAGGGGGTGGGGGAAGTAGAGAGCAAGAGTGGAGCACATTCCACTACCCAGCCTCTTGGCCATGCTTCACACACCCCAGGGGACATGTGGGAGACTCCTGCCTAGCCTGTGACCTCAAGTCAGTGCCCGAAAGTTCAAAGTCTCTTCCACCAGTGAGATGGTCTCTTGTCTTCTTTTGTTTGTGGGTTGCTACAAACCAGGCTTAGCTTGCCTATGGGTCAGTTGGGCACTTGCATAAAGAACTTCATGAGAGGTGATGCATGGCTGCCCCAGTGATGGACCTACCACACAATTCCATGAGGTTCTCTTTGTAAACCCCACCATCAACTAGATGTGTTCACAGTCTTTACTGCTTCCCAGATCAGTATCTTCTGACACAGATGCACACTTCTGCAGAAGTCATGACTATTCTAGCAACCACCAACTGAGGATGCTGTGCAGCTCCACTTGGGGGCTTTAGCCAGTCACAGAGGCCTGGTATTCCTATTAAAAGCCCAAAGGGGCCAAGCAGAAGGGATAGGTGGAAAATAAAAACAGAACACCTTGTACAGAATAGGTGAAGTCCAGCCAAACAAGAGCATTCCAGGCAAAGGCATAGCATGTGCGATGACAAGGAAGCAGTAGAGGGGACCCACATGAACAGCTCCTGCAAGGGGCAGGGACATGATTACAAGGAGTATACGACTTTAGACAGGAGTTAAAGGACAGAATCTGAGGACTCTTGCATGGCCACGTGAGGGACCTGTAGGGTGTCCTGGGGAGGATGTGGGAGACCTCCTGCCTGAGAAGGAGCCAGGTGGGACAGGAGGCAGGGCTGAGTCCTGCTGGCAAGAGTGTCCCCAGCGCCACCCTGGCATTACTGTATAGTCCGGCAATCCTTGGCCTTGGAGGGCCTCAGATGTTCCATGTGAGCAGGGGCCAGCTGGACAGAAGTGTGGGCCAGCACGCAGTGCACAGGGAGAAAACAGGGTGGCCTGGGGCCCTGGCAGAGGGATGCTGGTGGTGAGGCTGGAAGCTTGGGTGTGGGAGCGTGGTTAGTTGACAGCCCTAAAGCTGAGTGCAGGGAAGCTGGTGGCTTTCATTGTAAACCTGTAGGCCATCCTTACATCCTCTTGGTTTAGAGTCTCCACCAGGAAGTTTTTCAGCACCTAGGACAGAAGCTGTGATTCATCTGGCCTAGTCGGCTGCCCAAGGACCTGGCAAAGCCTTCACTGCCCTCTAGGTTAGACACATTCTGCAGGGGAGGAGCAGCCTGAGGTTCCAACCAGAGCTAGACAGTGAGCCCAGACCTACCAGCCCAGCCTGACCAAGCCCAGGCCAAGTCAGGCCCCCTTAAACTGCAAAGACGGCTTCCCAGGCTGGAGGGCCCCGCCCCCTCTTACCTCCCCATCTACCGGCCCCGCCCAACCCAGGAACTGCCTTACTCTGCTGCTGGCCTGACCCTCCCCAGGCCTGACCCCATCAGCACCTCAGCTTGGCCCCGCCCTATCCTTCCCAAAGCAATTACCCTCTTCTACCAGTCCCCCTCTGCTCTGCTGTAGCCCCACCCCACTCTGCCATGGCCACGCCCCACATGCCCCGCCCAGCCCAGCCGAGGCCCGCTCACGTGGTGCAGCAGCAACACCATCTCCACCTCTGCCAGGCGCCGCCCCAGACACTGGCGAACGCCAAAACCAAAGGCCAGGTGGCGGAATTTTGTGCTGGAACCCTTGATGTCCAGCCAACGATGGGGGTCATAGCGCTCTGGCCTCGGGAAGGAGGCGGGGTTGCGACCCAGGGAAGGGAGGAACACCTGGACCAGTGTCTGCGGACAGTGCGGAGGGACAGGTCAGCTGCACCGTCGGTAATGGGGGTGGGGCCTCGGCTGGAGGGGCGTGGGGCGCACTCACCCCCGCGGGGATGTGGTAGTTCTGCAGCACCACGTCTGAGGTCAGGAGTCGCTCCAGGTTGACGCCCACGGGGTAAAGTCTGGGGCGGGGACATCGGTGAGTGGTCTCAGCGTACAGGGCCCCTGTCCCGTGCCCTCTACAGCTTTCCTATCACGACCCCGCCACCACCACCCAGAGGCCCATGGGAAGGCCAGACCGTGAGGAGGTGCTTTTGTGCACCTGCTGAGCTCAGCCAAACTCCCCTCAACTGGAGTAGCCCCAACCAAGCAGGAGACGCCGAGTTGGCCCCAGGACACTGAGAGGGATTCCAAAGGAAAGAAGGGGCCCCTCTCCTTCAGGACAGAAAGGAGGGGCAGGGAAAGGGTCCTGAGGCAAGGCTGCTGATCAGCCCCATTTCCTGGCTGCCACTTGCCAGTGAGCACTGCTCTCCAGCAGGGGGCAGGGTGGCTGCGGAGAGGTCAGCAGGCACCTACCTCAGGGTCTCCTTGAGGGCTGCCCTCAGCAGGGGAAGCTCCACCATTGCCCTCTGGGGATTGTCAGTGATGCTAGTGGCAGCTTCCAGGCTCTCCTGGCGCAGGGCCTGCTGCACCTGGGGGTTTCTGGCCAACTCAAACAGTGTCATCAGCAGGGGGAAGGTTGTCTGCAAGAGCCACAGATGCAAGGCTCAGGCATGGACACCTGCCCAGACCTCCTCCCTCAGGGTGGCTCTTCCAAGCATGTACCCCCTCCCTGGGGCGGGGGTGTGCATGCCCTGAGCAGGACACATCCCTGGAACCCTGGACCTCAAATCCCAATGCCCATCTGCACTCCCTTCCCTGAGTCCTCCACA